ACTTTTAAGACATTTCTAATAATAAGAAATATATTAGGTACCTATCTACTTTTTTTTCCAGGTATTTAATAAAGTTTTAAATTTGACAGCCATCAAATAAATAAATTACAACCATGAACATTTAATATTTTGTTTTGTTTTAAATATAAAGCGGGCTGACCTATAAATATAGAATTCTATATGATGACAATAATGTGACAATAATATAATAATGTTATACCCATAATCTATAAGTATGAACTTATACTTTTTTTTGTTCATTAAAAATAACAATCTGTTAGTAAATTTTTTTTCCATAAGTATAATAAATTGCTGTTGTAATTGAATAGATATGTGTTTATTCAAGCTATACGTATACATCCGTCGATGGAACTTCATGACTTGTGAATAAATGTATTAATTTTTTTGAGTTGTTGGTTGATTAGAATTAAATAATTTGAATAATAATGAGGCTGAAACAGCATCTTGACGAATACCAGATTGGATTAAAGAGATTTTAGACAAAGCTCAACTGACTCAGGGTGTACCTATTATTTAAACATAAATAATAGGTATTATATGCTAAAAGCCAATTGATCATTATTTTAAATACGTATATCCAACTTGAACGAAGTGATTTCGATTAAGAAGATATAATTAGGGAAACAACAATTAATAATAAATGGGGCAACATGGTCTATATCGAGTAGACCTAGTAACTATCGAGAACCTTATAATTATAATTATTTACTTTATATATTTTATTAACGTGAATCTATTCACTACTTCATCTGCAGCTTGAAATAACTAAATTTTACATCTAAGAATGTTAAATATTAGGTAGAATAAAGGTACATTTTATGTAAACATTGGTGCTTAAGATTTGTATATATTTTTGGAATGTTTGTAACAGATTCTTGCATAATATAGTGGGATAAGACTCGACTACGTTCAAAGCTAATAAGACTCAATATACAGTTGGTGAATTAGAGTCAATTAGTTTAGTTGGAATATAAGTGAGAGTTTACCAGTTTACGACATTATATGTATAATACGTACCTATATGTAATTGAAAAAGTGGTATATTATATTATGAGTGATATAGATTATGTATACCTATAGTATATTCATATGTATTATTCGAGATATCTAACTAATTTATAGGGGAAAAAAATTTTAGGGGAATAAAACACAATTCGAGTTGTCAAGTTTTTCGAGTTTTTTACAGTCGACTCGACTGTATTTAATACAAATTATTTGTAATTCACTATACAATTACATACACTTCCTATCAGAAAATATTTACTATTATAAATAATAGATTCTGTGAGGGTCAATGAATATTTGGTTTTACAGTGTTTTTATTGTGTTGTAATTGAAAAAAATAAAAATAAACACTTCGTATAAACTTAAAATGTTCACAAAATATTAATTATACTAGTTTAATTTTTAATTCATTATCGTTGAATTTTTGGAATTTTTTATTTTTTTTTACAATTTTTGTTTGCAGGTTAAAAAACTTAAATGCAATACAAAGTTCCTCATAACTTATAAGTATTGTTTTTTACAGCAACCAAAAAATATCTAAAATACAAAAGGTAATCACAATTTTTTGTTAAGTATTTGAACTTTGAAATAAGAGTTTAAATATTTATTTAACAAAATAATTTTATTTGGCACAATTCGTCGAAATTGTGAAAATGTCCAGTTTATTTTGTAGACTCAAACATACGACAAGTTCCTCGTAATCGTAAGTGGTTTTCAAGACAATCTAAAAATCTCAAATACAAAAAAAAATCCTCTCAAAAGTACAAAATTAAGATTTTTCAAATATTTAGACTTTATTATACCTATAATTTAAGTTACTTATATTATATACTATTAACATATTCACACTGCTGTTCTATATGATATTTGCTATTATATAATATTATAAAAGTAAATAAAAAAAATTTATTATTGTAATAATTTATAACTGTTATATAATATTATACTATATATTATGATGTTTTTGATAAAAATTAGTTTAACCTAGCCACCTTATTACTTATAATAGAAATATTTTATGAAATATTCTTAGAAATAGATATGGAGGCTGACACGCGCTGCATCCGCTCGGAATAGCTTTTTATATGCAATGGTCATCGAATTTAAATTTAAGGATCCATATTCCGTCATAATTGACACAGTGAATTCAAATTTATCCATTACGCAGTCGACATCTATTTAATGACGAGGTAGGTTTACATAGAGTGCCTTGATAGACAATTATTATCAAGTCTCTCTAGGTTTACACTAGAAATCTTCTATGCAGGCATGTAGCAGATCGACTTCCACTTATTTACTACCTATTATTTATTATTTACAAATCAATTTGACGCCAATCGGAATAGGAATAGGAGGTACATATGTACGAATGTACGAAATCGTTAATGTCGTAGCCCGTAGGATGTGTTATTATACTAACAATATTAGAGAACAATTATGCTGGCGAAAAACAAGACAAAATATTTTGATAGGTGCAATTTATACACGCATCAACAATAATTAATTGTCGTATTGATTTCAAACGTTATCTGTTTAAAGCATAATGACATATCTTAATAACTTTTAGAACATATTTTTCGTAATTATTTTTAAATTCGTGAATCTAGTGGTTTGTTTATATGAAGCTATTGGTAGATTTATATATTATTTGAGGTTTTGATGAAGTGTCCGTGTTACCTAACTTATTATTCATGAAATTATATAATTATAGGTACCTAGAATATTGTTTAGCTCCAATAATGTTCTGAAATTATATACATACATTCGGGTGACTTTGTTGTATACATTATAATTTATAGGTGTATTTGTATTTACATTTTGAAGAAAGTAGTATAAAGCTATGAAAATAGGTAATATTGAAAAAATGAATTTTACTTTTTTAATGTGTTCGTGAAGTTATGTCATTTATTTTAAGTAGCGAAAATGGCGTCTAGAAGGTGACGTCCATTTTTTAAGATGGTGTTTTCTAATCCGGGTATTTAACTATTGAAGCTGTGCCACACTCGTCGCATGAAGCATCTCTTCACAAAGAGATACATCTATATATTGACTCCTCATTTCCGTACGAATGGACTCCAAGATCAATAGGTAACCTATAACCTTATGGCTATATAGAGTTTGTTGTCACTTTTCAATTCTTGATTTTCGCAACAGAAAATAAAATGGAATAACCTCACGAATATAATATTATGTTAATGCCTAAAATTAATATTAATTTTTTCTTTCAAAATTATAAATTCATATTTTATCTACTTAGTACCTGTTACTGCTTTTTTTCTTGAAAACACCTAGTGTGGTCTGTACAGTATATCGTTCAAGTAAAACTGCTTGACGATGATGATTAAGACAATACTTCGATGAGGTCATTAAGATTAAGATTATAATTTATAATAATATACTTCCATTATACACCGTGGTCTCGTCACGCGTGCGTTATCTCATCCGTCTGTTGCAGAAGGGCTTATGTTATTATTATCATTATTATATGATGATGCCGAGTAGGTAATAATAATTTCGTAATAGGCGGGTGGCGGCGGTGGTAGTGCTCTCTCAATCTTTCTCACTGTTTGTCGCAAACATAACCGATAAATTATCATTAAAGCAAAATATGTCGGAGCGCGCGTGTACCGAACGGCGGGCTGTGATGGCAGGCTTTGTATATTATGCCAGCGAGTATACCAGCTATACCTGCCTACCTATTATTATACTCATTTTGTATACGTAGGTACCTATATTGCACGCCAACGGAATAGAGTATATATATGTACCTAGGTACTTTTATTATAATTTCTAGGTAAAAGTTCGGTACCTACCCACCTATATAATACCTACCCATCACGCGCAGTTAATTAGAACGCTCGCGCACGCGCACCCCCGATGTGTATAACCATCGTCGATGGTTGGCGGGTGGTAGGGGGGCGGAGAAGAATATCACCGCGCAGTTAAGGGACGAACGCTGCTACGTGTATATTGTAGTCGTCGACGTTTGGTTCTGGTGGTGGTGGTGGTGGTGGTGATGGTGGCGTTGGTGGCGGGATGGCGAGGGAATGCGAAACGACGGTCGTCGGAGTACCGCGGGAAGGGATGATCGGTGTTCGCGGAAAAGGGGTGGTGGGGTAGTTAAGTTTAAAACACCCATCAGTGTGCATTATGCGCGGGCACGCCGAAATCATATTTACGTTTTGACCCCGGCTGTCGGCGAGGCGGCGGCGGCGTCTAGTGTGGCGGGTCGACGCGTGCGCGCTGCAGGGTCGGGGGGCCAGGCGAGCGCGCGGCGCCATGGCGTCACCGCCGAGACGCAGCGGCGCACGCGCGCCCGCCCAGCGACGCGGCGATCCAACCCACGGCGCGACGACGGACGCCGACGGCGACACCGACTACGACGACCACGGATGCCGCCGCCGTGGCAGCGGACGACGCACACACACAGTGCCGCCGGACGCGCAGACCGTCGGGCGATACGAGCGATACACCGGTCGGTTATTGGGTTTACACGCGAACTCGCACGCACACTTACACACACACACGCACACGCCTAAACGCAAACGTATTGCACACGCGGAGCGTCGATCTTTCGCCACTGCTCGCGCGTCACGTGGTCGGTGCGCTCAAACGACGACCCACCTATATTATATATTCCCGCGATAATAGGTACCTTTATTAATAATTTTTTAATGCATCGTCATTAAGATGTTACCACTTATCCAAAAGTGTACGATAATGGGTTACGGATAACATATAATATTATTACTGTATACCTACCTACAACAGTCACCACACATTTCGATATAAAAAGAAAAGTGTTTAGACGATAAGAAATCGCACTTGTTCTTGTCCCAGAAGCGGCCTGTATCTATACATAATTATACAGGTTATCACCTGGTTTTGCGCCCTCTCCGCCAATCTATAACCGTTTGATATTGGAATAACGCGTTGTCGCGTGCGACTGCATTGCCGCAAATGGTATGATGACCATGATGTATGGATCGGAAAAAATGATGGCCGGCAAACCGCCGTTGCCCATCACAGCCACTGGACCATGTTTTCCAGGCCGGTATTCGCCAACGTACCGAAATTCTGCGGACCCGATGCGCAGATGTATGGCCAACCCGTCGGTAAGTCGAAATCGTATTTTGCTTTTTTAATTATTATTAATATCACGAATCGTTTTTGCACTTCAATGTTTAATAGAAGCAGGGCTTAAAGTGGAAAAAAATCCCAGGGGGGACTAACGTCTCCATATAGTTTTAAGCGTTCCATATATCGTTTTATGTATAATGTCTAATGCATAATATACATACAGTCATAGTGGGTACATGTAATTTATAAACAATGATTGTGTAACATACTCATCCCACATTGAATCATGAATAATGGTCAAATTTTTAATTTATTTTATGAATAATACTACATTTCGCGGTCAACCAATCACACCCTCCAACCTTGTAGTGTCCAGTCCTGTATATCAAGGCTGGGCAAGTTAACTATTTTTTTAACTCGTTAAGTTAAGTTAATATAGAAAAATGTAAGTTAAGTTTAAAGTTAAAAGTTAACTTCATTTTTTTTTAACTTGTAAAAGTTACAAGTTAATTAGAAAATAAAAGTAATTTAACTTAGTTAAAAATAAGTTACTTTTTTTTAAAAATAAAATTAACAATTATACCTACCTACCTTTTTTAAAGCTAACAAATAACATAATAATTCAATAAATCAAAAAATGTCTTACAATATTTGAATAAATGTTTGTAATAAAATTAGTTACTGTAGGTACTTATATTAATTTTGTGTATTATACTTTAATTAGGTAAATAGTAAATACCACGCTACTTCGGGTGTTATTTACATCGACGGGCCAAGTTATCACCGTAATTCTATGAATGAATAAAAATATAATTAAGTAATGACATTAATAATGATTAGGTATAGGTTAGGTGATATGTCGTGTATGGGATAGGTACTGAGTAAATTGTTATATTTTTCTTTGACGCGGTTACCCCTATGATATTTCCCTCTATAATATAGTTATAAAATATTCTCTGTGAATATGCAATATAAAAACTTACTATTATTATAAATTATTATTTAATAAAATATATTTAATATTTCGGGGTTTTTTTTATGTAATTAATTTTAAATAATATGTGGTTTGGGAAAAACATTAACTTAACGTGCCAATAAAATTAATTAACTCGTTAAGTTACTGAATAACATGGGGAAAATGTAAATCGTTAAGCTAGAAGTTACTTCTAAAAAAAAAAGTAACTCGTTAATGCCCAGCCTTGCTGTATATCATAATCCATTCATGGTAATCACGGTTTTAATCTCAACGGAATTCTGAATTATATTGAATATTGATATAATTGGTTATAATTGGAGCGTTCCGACGTACTTTAAGAATGATTTTTTAAAGGGGACGCTTTTTAACCACCATTAGAGGTAGGGGGACTGAGTCCCCTTGCGTCCCCCCCCACTTTAACCCCTGAATAGAAGGTAGATTCTTTATCAATTCACATAGGTATTGTACCTACCTATATTATAATACATTATGTATATACAGATTAAAACGGTAGATGAGCGAGAAACACATATAATACCTATATAAAATATAACGTAATATGTGATATATCATATTAATATATATTACCTATATTATTGTAAATTTATAAATAAAGACATATAATATAGTAATACCTTGAATGCTAGTATGCTACTAATTTGCATATTATGTAGGTACCTACCAGTGGCGTACATAGAAATAATTTTTGGGGTGGGCTATAGTAGACAGAAACTAGCAAGTGATCTATTACTTAGAAGCTACTGTCTACTATATATTATTTAACATAACATGTTATTTTTCAACAGGCTATGAAATATGATAACTTATAATAGTACCTAATAAAATATATTGTTCTATTAAAAAAGACTGTGATTTCGGGGGGGGGGGGGGGCTGCAGCCCACTGTGCCCATCCCCTATATACGCCACTGGTACCTACTTATAGCTTTCATGCCATAGACATTAGACTGTACAAACAGAAACATTATTATATTTTCTCAAAGAATGAAATATAATATGTAGAACATAATAAGTATTATAAAGAATATCCATGAAATGTTTTAATTGTTCAAAACTGAAATCCATGTTGAGTTATTAATAATAAGCAAAAGTTATAATTAGAATTATCTATTTAGAATTGTGATGAATTAGGTATAATTATAATAGATATATAGGTACCTAATAGATCATGTTAGGTATTATATTTTTTATAAATATAGGTAGGCCCTATCGACTTTTATGTAATAATAAATTATTAGATTCATTAAAAAAAGGTATTATATTTGAGAAAATGGTTAATAATTTATGAAAAAATGTCTTCACAAGATAGTATACTATATGGTCTTTTCAAAAGGGATTTTCCCAATTGATTTATACCTATATATCTTGGTAGATATATGGAAAATTTTTTCTGCCTGAAAAATTAAAACCTATCATTATGTGAAACCAATATTAGTACACCTAGTACCTGCTAGTTATATTTTCTTATAAAGTCAATTTCTTTAAGTGAAAGTTTACAAAGTATCCAGCTATTAGTTTTATACCTATTACCTATATAGGTGCATAATATACTATTTAATTTATTGAATAAAATATAACTAGAATGATACTTGTTGAATAACTTTAAATTTCAAAGGTATGAAAAGGTTTAAAATGTTTAAATATGTTTTAATTTATTTGTGTACACTATTCATAGATTTATTTATTCTGCCATAAAATCTATATAACTCATAATTAATAGGAATAAGTAGGTACAATTTTAGATTTATAATTAGGTTTTCACTCCAAGGAAGTACAATTTTTCACCTCGAAAACTAAATTTAACTATGGCCTATGGGTTATAACTTTAGATTGTTGTTTATTTTTAAATAATTAATATTTTTTTAATTTTTTACACTTGTACCTTGTATAGGTAAAATAGAAAAAATGAACGCTCAGTATTACCTAGCATGTAAAAATAAATGACATAATTTTTTCATTGTTATCCATGTTTAAGTTGAAAGTCAAAGATATATAATTATACTAAAATCTTTTAAATATTTTTATAAATGTATATTTTATTGTAATTCTTATTTAAAAACATTAGGTAATCAATTATCATAAAAGATAAAAAAATAATAAAAATTTAAGTCTATTTTTCATTATCTTTTTCAGCATTTCCATGCATTTTCATATCATTTTTCCTTAAACCAAGAATAGTATTTTCTTTGGAATTCATTTCTACGATATTATAAATAATTATAATCACTTTCATTTGTTTCTAATTCCTTTAGTCTGTTCGTCATATTTATGATATCTTGTTGTAGTATGGCAATCTCTTGTATTACAGTATTATACTCTTCTTCTAACTTTGTTAACTCCACCTTTTCTGGAATAATTTCGGTCATATTCGTACGAATAAATCTATTTAAAAAAGTGTATAATATAATATGTGTATTGTATTTATATTTTATATACTACTTTTTAAAATATAAATATAAATTATTATTCTTAACTGTAGGTGATAAATATTTTACTGTAGGTATAGGTACACTAAAAAATTAAGAACGTTATAATATATTATGGTGAATGACGTTTTTGTGTGTTTGAAAATAAATATATGAATTAAAAAGCTAAAGTACGCATTACATATTTTTACGTATACACCTACCTACAGATTACGCCAATTGCTATAGTGAAATACACAATCACAAAGAATAGCTATACAGCGAGGAATACTTTTGCTTTTAACATACCATATCTAGTAAAGTTTAGTGGTGTATTATTATTATTAATAAGTATTACAATGAAAACTGAGATTTTAGTGTACCGTGATTCATTCAAAAATCATTAAGATTCTATGTTTAGTTGTTTTATTTTACGATCGTCAACTGAACAAGTTAAAATAAATACTTAATTTAAGTAACAGTAACAACAGTTCAATTTTTAGAAGTAGGTACCTATACTGTTCTAACATCTCAATAATCTTTAAACTAGAAAATGTGATAACCTGAAAAGTTGTATCATATTGCTTAAAACTATATAATATAATTGAATAATTCCCTGTATTAAAATCATAAATCATACAATTCTATTACATTTTTTAAAAACGGAAGGTAGAAATTATAATATGTTATTATATTACAATAGTAAAATACTTAATGAGTAAAATAAAAAAATTGTATAGTACCAATGTGTATTGTTTATATAAACATTATTTAAATAATTCAAATATTAATTAAAAATACCAACACACCTATATGTAAAATATTTTATAAGCTTTACTTTCCTCATTCTTTAAACTGCCAAGTTATGGCAGGTTTTACGATTTAACCTACCATAGTTTACATAATTTAAAAGGTATAACAACTAATAAGTATTAAATAAGTTCCGATGATCAGTTTTCATGATTTGAAGTTTAAACCATTGTGGGATAAAAATTAATTATAATTAATATAAATGTTTCAATTTAGTTCATTTAAAGTATATAGGCAGATAATATTATGTACTTTCAGTGTTTAACCCTCACAAATTAATTTGAACATTATTAATTATTGTAAGTTATATAACATAATTGAGAAACTATAAACTATAGTCTAGATACAACTATAATAAGTAAGTACTAAATACGTACTAATTATATACATAGGTACATATTATACTTATATTTTTATAATGTATTATTACTAATAACTTACCTATTATAATACTATATTATAAATAATATAATATAAAACAACATAATTTTGGTATTATTATAAACGAAAGTTTTATAAACAATAAACATTATATTATATAATTTAATATATTTAAAATTTGTTATAAATACTCGAAAGGATCAACCGGTTTTTCATCCATTTCGTACAACAGCTTTAATACATCAGTTACTTTAGCAATAACGCCAGTTTTTTCAAAATAATTTATAACTTCTTCAGTCATTCTACTAATTGGGTTACAAGATGTTTGTATTTTAGACTTTTTTTTTTATTTAAAATAGAAAATTTACAATCTGTAACATATGTACAATAAGCAAATAGGATAATTAAGGAAAATATTTACAAGATCATTTAGTATGAGGAGGGAAGCAATTTGTTTTAGGTGCATACTTTAATACTTAACTAGGTAGGTATTACATATAAGTCCCATTATAGTCATATTTTAAAGTAGAAAATGTTTATTATTAAATCCCATTAATGTTTCATCGAATGCAGAATACCGAAGCCGTAAATATAAAATAAATGTTAACAAATCTAGAATTTTTTTTACAGTACCTATAGGCTATTATTATTATTCAATAATAATAATAATAATTTATTTATTTTTGTAAATATACATTGTTTTATTAATTTAATTCTATATTTAAAGAATACGTTAGTGATAAATCATAAATATTGATATAGGAATTTATGTTAATTAAAAAAAAAAAAAATCTAAAATTTGTTAAGAAAACGCCAGGTTATGAAAAATAATAGGGTTAGCAAAGTTATAATTCTGTAATCCAAATAATTTTTTTTGGAATCTAAAGTATTACCCACTTTCCCAGTGGCGTATATATGGGGTGGGCATAGTGGGCTGCAGCCCCCCTCCCGAAATTACAGTCTTTTAAAATAGAACAACAATATATTTCATTAGTTAATATTATAATTTATAATATTTCATAGCCTGTTGAAAAATAACAAATACGAATATATTTGTAGAAACTGTTAAATATATAGTAGACAGTAGGTAGGCTCTACGTAATAGATCACTTGCTAGTTTCTATCTACTATAGCCCACCCCAAAAAATATTTCTATATACGCCACTGCACTTGCCCCATTGTTTAATATCTATTATTTTATTATGATGATTTATTGCATAGTTGTACTTACTTGCAGGTCAGTAGAATCATTTCCAGATATAATAAAAAACAATATTTATTGTTGACCTCAAATAGTCTAGCCGGAGCGTTTAAAATATTTGTATACTATTATCAATAAGATTCACATAAAATGTATCACTGAATGTCGAATGTTTACGATGCTATACGTATTATATATATTGTATAGTTTATTAAATGATTCCCATGGTTATTGCTTTTAATAAAATCAAACCAGAAAATATAAGACATTTTCAAAATCATAAATAGGTTTAACAGAAATAATACCAAATGTTATACGACTTTTATGAGAGTGAAGATAAGTTAAACGAGTGTTTCGGTTCAGCACGATATTGGAGAGTATAAAATGTATACACGAAAAGTTTGTATTTATTTGTGAACTTTCGTTCGTATATTCGTTTATCGATTTCGACCCTACTTGTACAAACCAACACATACATCAACAATATACCTACCATGTTACATATGTTCTTCACTATATCTATATTATTATAATGTTCGAGGGGACGTAAAGTTTTCCGTTCGTTATAGCCGTTATAGGTAATATCAAATATGTACATTTACCTAAGTATATTCATATTATAATTTAAAAAATTCAAAAATATTTAATAATTTTTTCTGAACTTAATATAATATACTAATATAGGTAGGCACCTAAGAACCTATTTAACATGATACCGAGAAAAGTTGTAAAATATCTAAGTTTATTTCCAAAATATTATTTTTATTGACTAACAAACTATAGTAAGAAAAAATTATTTTAATATTGTTAACCAAATTATTGTTGTTATCTAACTTTAATCGACATAAAATATAATTATGGTCACTTTTAAACATACCTGAGAAAAATCAAGATTTTCAACTTATCTGAACTTAACGTTTCAATATTCAGATTATAGATATATTTACGATCACCTATTTATATTTTTAGATGTACCTATATAATAGGTACCATGCAATACCTGCGTACGGCTGTACCTAAAGTTAAAGTCACGTTTAAGTGTGTGATAAATAAGTTATTGATTAATTAGCAACCGTATATAAAATTATTTAAGTACATACTTATAGATACATACTATATATTGTATGTATATATTATATAGTTAACTGTCATTGCTAATAGAAATTTGGACCTTCAGGTATAAAATATTAATTCAATCATTAAAAAAAAAATTACCGAGCATAAAAAGTTTCCATTTATATATATTATTGGGATTGTACGAAAATACGTTGTAAAACTATTAGTAAACTGTACTTAAATGTCTAGTCCTGTATATTTTTATATATCTATACAGTATACATCTTCTATTACTAGCTGGAGCATTTAAATAGTAAATAATAATACTATATATGTACAATATGTACATATATACTGCAAAACCTATCATCTTCAATCTTGCTATCTGCAGTTATTGTCCATTGGTATAAGCGTTGTCTGTATTAAAAAAATATTGATATCAATTTAGTATTTACATTATTGCAGGTCTTGTCTATGAATTCATATTAATAAAACTGCTAGTATATATAATATATTATGGTTATCCATGCAATATTGCCATTTAATATGTATCATGTACCATGTAAATATACCTATATAGGTATATACATTCATGTCCTTTACGTTATACTAAGTCAATGTTAATTTAGTGGAATTTTATATAGTAGGTATATATAACAGTGACGTAGAGGAACATCACATTTTTTTGGTCTGTCTATAAATACTAATATATTTTATGAGCAGCAATCCGTTAAAGTGTCAAACCCCTATATAATGGTATTCTATAAATTTTACAAACAATTAGGTAGGGTAGTTCAGTTTATACTTTATAGTATGTATACCTTGCACCTAAAGTATAGGTACCTAACCTGTACCTAGGTGTATTTAAAAATGTTCTCTTAAATAGATGGTAATTAAATCACATTTATAGATAGGTAGATTTCCATCATAATATAGTTGATGAATATTATGTTCCCACTTGAAACATATACGACGCAAATAATTCTTGTAATATATAGGTACTTAATGCAAAAGTACGCAATTTCATAATATATACATGCCCATATACTATAGGTATGTCGTACATGTATAATTTAAACTGTAACTATAAAATAAATATAAGCGTATTTATTTTTATCAACATATAGTCTATAGTTAGTAATACAAGTAAAGTAAATAGACTCTCAATTCAACTACGATCGACCAGTGTAATCAGTATAGTGTCTCGTCCATGCAATTACATTTTATTGTAGGTGCTTCGCTTAAACGTGTCGAATACCTACATGTGGTTTTTATTCAGACCCAAACAATTAACAACGCAATTAAACCAAACCGTTCGAGACGTTCCAATAATATTGATAGGTATTATAATACCTACCTAATACCTACTCAAAAATGCATAAGCTATGCATATTATAGGTATGTATTTACATGGTGAATGATGCATGATAGGTTAGGTATGGTGCATTAATGATTATATACGTATATTATTTGACTATATCATGATTATAAAATACAAGAGTATATCATAAAGAAGTATTTAACAAAGCTAAAATGAATGTTAAATATGCCTAATCATTAAGTAGTGTACCTAAACAACGGGAAACCCTTAATTATATTGTTTTAGTTTAAAATTATAACGTTTTAATTTTAATATTTTTATAATAAACAGACATAACAATTTCAGACCATCTCTATAAGAAAATAAAAATAAATTAATATGGCCATCCAAGTATATAGGTACTATATAGGTATAGGTACATATTTAAGTAACGGTTGTAAAATAATTTGTAAAAGACAGAGTTAAAAAGAAAGTTATTGGTAATGAGTCATTAGTAATAAACACGACGGTGTTTGAGAATACTACCTATATTATATTCACATGCATAATTTACCTATAAAGTCCGAATGCTTATATACACACCGGTACTATTTCGGATTTAGGACTTGTAAATATATAATTAACTGGAAGTGATAGGTAGATAATATAATAAAATAAATAATAATAAATTAATTAATAAATGAATCAAGTTAATTATATATTATAGCTGTGGAGTGTATTTGTGCTTTCTCAACGTTTCATTGAAACCATACAGTTTTTTAATTTATTGATAGCAATTATTTTATTATTTTATGAATTGGATTAATTCTCAAACGAGATGTTTTTAGTATGACGATTGTTTTTACAGAAACGAATATTATAAAGTACAAAAAAGACACATAGCCAGATACATTATAATTATAGATATATGAATATTTCGCATTCACAGAGTTCCAGTCAACACGTGTGTGCTATCTCATGTATACTATATTATATCGATTGGCAGAAAATTAGTAATTTATTTAATGTTATTATATAAATTTATCTTTGTTCTCGGCAATATACACCCGTTATATACACAATAATATAATAGGTGTTATTTCTATTCTATACCTATACCTATATTGCACTTCAACACTTTATAGTATAGAAACTATATAAACTATTACTGTAGTCCATACAGTGCGCCGCAACAATAGATAACGCAAGGTATAGGTATGCATTGCATTTTCTGGCCAGGTCTATTATGTTTATAAATGGGAAGGGGGGGGGATCATCAAAATTAAAAATTAAATAAGTTTTATTCGAAAAAAGAATGGAAAATGCGTATACCTTTTATAATATATATTTATATACTTCAGTCTCCCAGTTATATTATACTGACACTATATATGGACAAAAAGTCATTTTCCAAATTAAAACTGTTGAAAAGCTATCTCCAGATTTCAATTTTACAAGAGAGATTAACCGGAATAATGTATTGAAAAAATGTATAGGTAATATTGAAAATTCAAGGACAAATGAACTTGATCTTAAAAAATTGATAAATGACTTCGCAAATATGAAGTCTAGAAAGAAAAACTTTTTAAAATGAAACCATTGTATATAATAGATATTTGTTGATATAGTTTATTTTTTGTTATTTAAATTTTATTATTTTAATGTAACATTGTGATAAAATCGAGAAAAATGAACATAACTATTACATTTTGTTTAGTAAATAAATTGCTTTTTAATTAACTTG